ATTGAATCTCTTATTTTGAAGCTTATATTGAGAATAAAGGTGAAAAGATTAGAGAAATTAATGTTTTTTGGACTTTAAAGTATAAAAATAAATGGTATTTAGTCAAAATTAAGAGAAAAGTGTTGGATGATTTATTTTTTTATATCTAAGACTACCCAACACTCATTGAAAAATAATTCGTGATTAAATTTATACTTTTATCATGCTCTTATGTGTTATGCCCATATCATGCTACGTGTCATTATGAGCTCTACATAAGGTCTGTTAATTAAAGTTAACGGCAGGTTATTGACACTTTATTTTTTAAAATTTATAATTTATTTTATACCATATAATAATTTAAATTATTAAATATTTCTTAAAAAATAATATGTAATTAAATTTGTTACTTTACTTTTTTGAAAATGTACACAAGGATGCATACAAAAATTAATTAAAAAAAATAGCAGCAGGCCGCTGAAGAACCGGGCGAGTGTTGCCATACAGCAGACTGGGAATACAATTACATGGATGGAGTGTTGACCGAAACAATGGTACGATGTAAATAAAATAAATAGGCGGCAGTGCTTCCTCCAAATTCATTTTTTAAAAGATTCATTTAATTCTTTTTATAAATTAAAGTGTGATTTTTTAAATAATATGTAAAAAATATTTTTAAAATTATTTTTTTATGAAAAAATAATATAAAATTATTTTTTAAATTTATTATATAAAAATATTTAAAATTTTATATATTTTTATTTTTTATATTAATATTGATAAAATTAATCGAAATAATTTATTAAAAAAAATTGAAGGAGTAAAGTCTTTGTTGCAATTTTGCGGGAGTGAAGAAAGCCAAGGACAGGGCAGGGTGTAGTTGGCAGAGGCATAGGATTCCAGGTCTCTTCTTTTCATGCTCTTTCCGCCATCGGAGCCTCAAATGTCTTTGACTTTTCATTTTTGGATTTTTCACACTTCCCAGTGATGTCCCAGGCGAGAGAGGAGAAAGAAAAAGGCCAGCTGTCCAGATTTGGAATGATGAGGATGCCCTTCTCACACGGTTTCACTGCAGGAAAGAACGCTTTTTCCAAGGGCCTCAAGCCTCTTCTGCCCCAAGTCTCTATGGGCTCCATCACCAACCCCAAAGATCAAATGTATGTAGCTTTCTTGGGCTTTTTCATGGTCAATTAACTATCCTCCTCCAACTCCACCACCATTCTCTTCACTCTCATTCATTGCCTCCAACTCCTCCACCAAAGATCAAATGTATGTAGCTTTCTGGATCTGCTCTCTTCTGCTGGATTTGCAGACCTGCGACCAGTCACAATCCAAGGGAGCCCACCTGTTTCACTGTTGCTGTTTCCTCCTCCTTCTGTTGCCATTCCTCTTCTGAAGTTGAGTTTTTCGAATGCCTCTTTCTCCTCCTTTCGCAAGCCAAAACGAGAGACGCGATCCAAGAGATTACACAATGGTTGAACAATATATAGTTCAATACGGTTTAGCAAGCTTCACCTTCCGTCATTTAAATATGACTTGTGGCCGTGATTTATTGCACTTGAACAAAATTACTCGACAGAGGATGATTTGATAACTTAATTTTTCGAATTTATTGCGCTGTTCTTCCACATTCGCTTTGCTTAACCAGAACTTGAAGAAAGCATGCATGGCGAGCGGGTGCCCATTCTGCCTTTGGTTGGCCGAGAAATCGTCAGAGAGGAGGATTATGATCTCCATTTTGGCATGATGTAGTATATATTAAATATCACATCACAGTCACACCACACCGTACGAGCATCTTAATCAAGCGGCCTATGAAATAATTCATCAAAAGAATAAAAGTGGGAAACTGAATTTGCAAGGCCAAGAAGACCGAAAGAAGGTTTCCGCTACAATGGAGGATATTCTGCAAGAATCTTTGATGGAGCACCCGGGCCAACGAACAAGAAGCATATAAAAAACTTTTAAATATAGATATAACATAAGAAATGGGCCTATCCACTCAACTAGGAACTGTAACATATAAGCAGAAACTACCAGGAATACATAAATGAATCATTGACGGAAGGGGTGATTGATCTTTCAAGAACGAGTTTAAAGCTGCTCTTCTCTCTCTTGAAAATAATAAAAATTTATCCCAGCCAATGCAACTTATAGTCAAAGTGAACTTATGAATGGGAAGATCCCCAACGGAAGAAGAATATGGATCCCTTTCCGGCAATCGAAGAGAGAGATGAGAAACGCCTCGCGAATTCCCTGAAAGCAAGGGCAAAGGAAGTAACAGGAGGACAAGGAAGAGGCTGTAACCTGTAAGAGTGGCCTTGCACTTAGTTACAGTAGGCCAGATCGTACGTTGGAAGACATACTCATATATGGCACCTGTCCTCTTCCGGTTTGACATTTTTGTCCACGTGTCACGCAAGCAAGCACAACCGCAACAAATATCATCACAAGACATGCTCATACATATTCACTCCTCTGTTCCTAAAATAACATGGCAATACGTGTACGCCTTAAAAACTTGGAATACTTAGCACAAAGAGTTTCATTAAAGACTAGTAGACAATCCACATTAGTTCTCCAATATATGAATGATGATTTTCACCGCATCTTTGATACGTCATGTACCGGAATATTTTGTCAGATCTTGACTGGGGAAAGGAAGGCATTAAAGTGAAGCACAAATAGAGGTTGATGATACAGGGGAGGTCCCAGCATGAAGGCCTTAAAGATGGGCAACTATGATGGTGTTTGTGCATCAAAAGAACTCCCCAATTATGCCAGCAGAACCGCTATGAACCGACCTTATGAAATCCATACACAACTCATTGCAGCTTAATTTGCTGGCCCATGCGCCTTTCTTTCGCCATAACCTCAAGTTGTTGCTTCCACACCCATTAATTAATCAGTAAATCAACTATGGTCTTGTCATAACATGAGCTATAGTCTCTATATAGTTACAGAATTCAGAGCCTTTTATGAAACTTCAGACTTGTATTTTTCTGCTTATAATCGTGACAGATGATTATGGGATGATTATAAGCAAGCTGTGTCCTTCAGTTCTTTCAAACCTTCAGGAACAATACTGGATTGCTAGGTGTGTGTTGATTGCGACACTCACAAGCATGCAAAGTTGCCAATAAAATTCAATGCTCGAACTTTTCATCTTTGGTCTCCTACGTTAAACACTCAATGATATGATTCAAGAAACAAAACATATAGCAACCAACATTCCCTGTCTTCCTTTCTTTCTTGATATGTAATAGTTGCAGTGGACACTAATAATCTCTGTCAGTGACAATCCACAAGCAAGTTTTGTCTTCAGTCTTCTCTTGAGAAATTTATATTTAAAAGTAACTTCGAACAAAATGACTATAACGGACGGTCGCAATAGGGTTGTGATCTCCAAATAGTCAAATTATACCACTAAACTGTAGACTTTGGCGTGAGAATGAAGCAAAACTGTCATACAAAAATAATACTAATCACGGGAACCAAAAGTTTCATGATTGAAACGGAACATGGGATTTGCCTTAAACATCATTTTGCTTCGAAATTGCTTCTAAACGTGCACAACAATACTGAACGTGCTTAATTATGCAGACACCCACATTAACCCCACTTCACCTGACAGTGAATTCTACTTGATTCCAAAACGGTGGAAACATGACTATTACAACTCCTGGCCTCAGAAAGAGCAGATATTTATCAGTGTGCCTATGATATTCATCATGCTTAGGATAAATTTGAAAAACCTTCAGTCTTCACAACAGATTGAACATGCTCAAGGGGGCATAAATCATTGAGGATATGTTCATTCCCCCCCCCCTCCCCTCCCAAAAAAAAAAAAAAAATCTTTAGTCCGTAGGGTTTACCAGACAAATTTGACATAGTTTGTATTTTTCTCTAATATTGTCAGAGAATTTCTAGATATTGGGAAAAATTCAGACACACCTGGGTGATTAATTATACAACAACACCAAGTTAGGTAGGCCATAACGAATAATTATGGTGGGATTATTATTCATTTGATTAAAAAAAAAAAGAAAAAAGAAAAACAGAGCTAGGAAGAGGCTAAGTAGAGAGAATCTTTGAGACAACAGTTTTCTTTCAGGAGGGGCAAGACTCTAAATGAATAGGATTATTTTATAGTTAAGAAATAGAAGGATAGTATTTTTAATGTTTTGGCATTTCAAGGAGACAGTAGAGTAGAGAATATTAGGGTACCAAGAAAAGCATGAAAAGTGTAATGAAGATTGAAGAAGGGGGATTCCGGAGGTGCTGCATGTGATAAAAGCAATGTCCATGGAGTCCCCGAGAGACCACGCCCGTTTGGAAGCAATCATGTGGTCTATTTTGTTATTATTCCTCTCCTCTTTTCTTTCTTTTTTATCGCTTTTCCTTCTCTTCCTAGTTTACCTAGCTCTTCCTCCTGCAAACCACCAATGTTTCTTCTGTTTCCCCACTTTACAAGGAAAAAAAAAATAATGCTCGCGTCAACCGTCAAAGCACACGATTGTCGACTTTAATGCTATTGTTAAGCGGCACAATAAATGCCATGCCATTCAAAGTCGTAAAATCGTTGAATTTTGAGCACAAAAAAGCATGGAAAACATTATACAGCAAAATCTATTCTATGTTTAATGTGGTATAAAACTTATACAAGGTTGAATTATTGAAGAGTTCATGGATAGTCTAATTTACTTCTGGTGCTATGTGAAGCGCATATGCTTGTGCCTAGTCAGTAAATAAAAGTTAATATGTGACAATGAAGTCATTGTGGACGTGTTGTATTAGTTTAATGAAGAGAAGTTTGTGACGTAGAGAGTGATATGTGCCAAAAGTTATGCCCACAGAAATGTCACAAAAGTGAACACCTAAAAGTGTTGATAGCCAAATGACAAAACTATTGTTAATATCAAAAAGAGGGCTCGAGGACCAGTGAATTATGTAAGAACCGCCTATTTAACTTGTCCAAAAAAAGCCGACTCACTCGTTTTCCACAACACCCCCCTCCTCAGATAGATACGGATAACTTCATCACAGACTCGTGTGCCTCTCCTCTATATAAGTTACATACTCCCAACACTCCCCTCTCTATCTATATAGTCAGGCCTTGATAGTTGATAGCCTCACTCACAGCCAACAGCCCGCAGGAGAAGATGGAATCGGAGAAGGCGGTGGAAACTGCCATGGTCGGCAACTATGTAGAAATGGAGAGCGAAGGAAAGCCCAGGACCATCAAATCCAGGCTGTCCAAGCTCTTGTGGCACGGCGGTTCTGTTTACGATGCATGGTTCAGCTGTGCTTCCAACCAGGTTCGTTCCCGCTCTCTTCCTTTTACACGTTTCTGATTTCGTGTGAGCTGGTGTATGAGTTTGGATTGGATGGGTTGTGAATTTGGCAGGTGGCTCAAGTGCTGCTTACGCTGCCTTACTCATTTTCCCAGCTGGGAATGCTGTCCGGCGTACTTTTTCAACTCTTCTACGGCTTGCTGGGCGGCTGGACCGCCTACCTCATCAGCATCCTCTACATTGAATACAGAACCAGAAAAGCGCGAGAGAAAGTCGATTTCAGGAACCATGTCATCCAGGTTCTAATCCAATTATCCATCCATGGCTGCTGCTCGCTTTTCTTTTCTCTTCAAAGTGAATCATTTGGCCGTTTTTGATGGCAGTGGTTCGAAGTTCTTGATGGACTGCTTGGAAAGCACTGGAGAAACGTGGGCCTGGCATTTAACTGCACTTTCCTACTGTTCGGATCTGTCATCCAGCTGATCGCCTGCGCAAGGTACCTCCATCGAACTTTAACCCATGCTTTTAACTGTTTTTGATGATCGTGTGTATTGACAGTTAATTTCATCAGCGATGTTGCGTTTAATAGTATATATTATAGTTATGATCATAAAGGAAAGGGGAAAGAAAGTACATGCAGATCCGTGACGAGCGTTTTGGTTTGGGTGGTATTACATGTGCAGCAACATATACTACATAAACGACAAGCTGGACAAAAGGACGTGGACTTACATATTCGGAGCGTGCTGTGCCACCAGCGTGTTCATTCCTTCGTTTCACAATTACAGAATCTGGTCCTTCTTGGGTCTCCTCATGACCACTTACACTGCCTGGTACCTCACCGTCGCTTCTCTTCTCCACGGCCAGGTTATCATCGTTTCTTCAACTTTGAGAATCATGGAGTATCATTTGTGGTCATCGATGACAATACATCATGCTAATGTGGTTTTGATTAACTGATTTGGGTAGGTGGAAGGGGTGAGGCATTCGGGTCCCACCAAGCTGGTACTTTACTTCACGGGGGCCACCAACATTCTCTACACATTCGGGGGACATGCTGTTACAGTGTAAGACAGTAATTTAATTTCACGTTTATCTAATTCCCGTCTGGCTCTGCCTTTGGGGCCTTCCTGAGGCCTTCTCTTCATTTTTGGCCCACTCTTTCCCAACATCAGCACGACTACATGATATCCATCCGATTTTATTGAGGATTTGTACCGAAAATGCCCTTGTCCGGGGAAAAAGCAACTGCCATTTTCCCTGCCAATTCTTTTTTAGATTCTTAGAAAGTAACTTCTCTTTTCCTTTCTCTGAATCATTCTGTTTTCTCATGTCATGCCAAAAGCTTTCTCCTTTTTCTCTTTCCCTTTTGCCCTCTGGCCACATTGGTGTGAAGAATTTTGAATTGGATTCATTCAGCCTGCATACGTAATATAATATCCTATGGTTTGATATTTTAATTTGCATCTATTCAACTCGTCATTGGATCACATTTAGAATGATATAAAAGCATATATAATTTTATGTGTGATTCATTCTTCTATTTATGACTTATGTTCAAGGATTTTTGAGAGAGTAAGGGCTCCTCAAACCAAAATTAATGTGGTAAACGTAAAGCACACGTTTGCGATGAACTAGAAATTGATGAGAAAAATTGGACAGGGAGATAATGCACGCGATGTGGAAGCCGGAGAAGTTCAAGAGCATATACTTATTGGCAACGGCGTATGTGCTGACGCTGACGCTTCCGTCGGCTGCGGCAGTTTACTGGGCCTTCGGCGACCTGCTCTTGGATCACTCCAACGCCTTCTCTCTGCTTCCCCGATCGGCCTTCCGAGATGCCGCCGTGATACTGATGCTGATCCACCAGTTCATAACCTTCGGCTTCGCCAGCACGCCTCTCTACTTGGTGTGGGAGAAAGCCATCGGCATGCACTCCTCCACCAGCCTCTGCAAGCGAGCCGCCGTCAGATTGCCCGTCGTTATCCCCATTTGGTTCTTGGCCATCATCTTCCCTTTCTTCGGTCCCATCAATTCCACCGTCGGATCCCTCCTTGTCAGCTTCACCGTCTACATCATCCCCGCTCTGGCCCACATCTTCACCTTCCTCTCCCCTTCTTCCCGACAGGTCTGTACGCCTGGTCTATATATCACTCTGAGTTCACTGAATCCATTTCAACATTTACAAATGGAACTTACCAGTTTATTAATTTGCAGAATGCGGTGGAGCAGCCCCCAAAGTTCGTCGGAAGGTGGGTGGGAACGTTCACGATCAACGTGATAGTGGTAGTGTGGGTGATGGTGGTAGGGTTTGGATTCGGTGGGTGGGCGAGCATGGTTAATTTCATACACCAGATCGACACCTTCGGCCTCTTCACCAAATGCTATCAGTGCCCCATCCCTTCGTCACTACCCGCGCGGCCGCCGCCGCCGCCGCAGCTAATTTTCAATGCCACCGCGCCCGCGCCCTCGCCGGCTCTTCACCCTCCCCATCGATCAACTTCCTCCCCGTTGATATATACGTAGATGCATATCATGAATGCCGCCCATTTGGCCGCCTGCTAAACAAATTTATGTATTTTTTGCTTCTTCGGTGCTGTCTGTCTCTTGTAGAGTCTTTTTTGGTGAATTGACTCCAGGACTTCATTTCTCATCATTCATTTCTCGTCCCTTGTTACCATGTCATATTTTCATAATCCAAAAATGCTCCTCCCCAAATAAAGCCAACATCATTTCTCTCCTTCGCACCTCCCCTCCTCCTCTCTTCCTAGCACCTTCAAGAAAATTTGAATTCTTCAAATTAAGATTTGATATTTAATTTTATTTTATCACAATAAAACATTTTAAAAAATATAATCATCAATTTGAACAGCCTTCCAAATTTAAAATTTAAAATTTTATAATTTTTATTAATTGACTATCCTAATATATTATACACAATATAAATTTAAATTTTTTATTAATTCAAAGTGCATGTTAGAAGATTATATTTATTTTTAATATTTTATAATTAAAATAAAATTATAAAAAATTTTAATATTGCATGTTACAACTTACAAGTTCTGATTGGCCCCATTTTATATATATATATATATATATATATATATTTAATGTCATAGCTTATGAGAAGAATCCTTATTTTTTTTTAAATTCACATGTATATTTTATTAAATATTTATAAAAAAATAAGAAAAAAATTATCTTAGTAAGATAAGAATATAATAGTTCATATATAATTATTTTTTCCTCCCTTCCCTTTTGAACCAAACAAGGTCCTTCTTCTATTGCATGTTTTACAAATATATATAACCTTTACAAATAGCCATTCCACTTCACATAGCATTTCAAAATCTCAATTAAACATTCATGTTCATATTAACTAGTTCAAGACAATAATACATATATTATCCACAACTTTTATAACCATCCAAACACACAAGTAAGAAGATTAAATCATTTGATTACTTCAATTATTTTGTTACAAAAAAGGTTACCGTGGTAATAGTTACTCCATAATAGTTCATTAGCTTAATGGGACTCAATCAATATTTAATCTATAAAATTAGACACTAATAATTAATTATAACTCTAATTAAACCTCTTTTTTAGTCTAATTTTAAGTATCCACTATAATCAAATTGCCTCTTTAATACCATTAACACTTCTAACACATTCCAATAATTCAATCTAGCACTCAAAGACTTAAATAACATCAATTCTTCACCCACATTACTTCTAATTTTCCAATTTTCACTTAGGGTTAGTTTAAACCTTAATCAAAAATTTCAAATCATTATAAAATCATCAAACCTTAATTTAGAAGTTTGATTTAACTCCTCAAGGCCCTAACTAAGCCAATAAGTTTGATTTAAACTAAAGGAGAGATGAAAATAAAACACTCAACACTTTCCAAACTAATAGAAATTTGGCATATGAGAGGAGGAGAGTAAATAGGAAGCTTACTTAAGTGTTAAACTAGTGTAGATTGCCTCAAATATGGTCTAAAAGTGAAGTCCTAGGTGCCCAAGATCTGTCCCTTATTGCCTCTTGCTATTTCTCTTTTCTTCCTCTACTAAAATTAGACATAGCTCATATATGATTTATTTCAAAAATGAGTTGTACATAGCAAACCAATGTGCCATTTTAGGCGACTCATTCATGCCTAGTTGATCTGAACTCTATCCTAGTTTATTTCTAAAGCTGTTCAAAAGTTTAATAACCTCATTAACAATTCAAAAACGCATTAATTCATTAATAACTCAATTTTTACTAATTTATCATTTTTAAACACTAAAATTCAAAATTTAAAATCAAGAATGTTACACCACTTATCACTATTGGCCCTGTGCTCGTCCCACTCGCATCCCTTCCTACTGCATGCTTTATCGGCTAATGGTTCTTATCATGGCTTTATTTCTTATAGAAGCAAATAAGATGAATTCCTTCGTATTCAATTTTTTGTTCCTTCTTATTTATCAAGATAATAGGCTTTAGTGGCTTCTCTAGATCAAGTTCTACATACAAACAGGCCAATCGATCGTTTTTACACTTCATTGGGTCATATCCACTTTTAACGCCCTGCCTATCTATGATTCGAAGACATACAGGATCCCCTTGTCATAATAATCAAGAGGTAGCTTTGAGATTCTAACCCATGTAGCAATCTTACTGACCCTCTCCTTATCGGGCTTAAAGTCTTCTTTCCAAGGTTGTATATCAAGGTGTTCGTGGTTGAACAACAAATATCAGGCATGCCAAAGACACTGGGTCTCAATAGATAACGAAAGGGTCTCGAGTTCCCTTACCACATTTCGCTCGGATGTAAAAAGATAGTAGGCTTTGATAGAACAAGTGTGTAATTTTATTGAAGTGTTTGAAAATTATAGACTAAAAACTAAGAGCAGAAAAGGGCTAGTAAATGTAAATTATGCGAGTCTTGATAGAGTGTTGACTGACTTCTCTGTTTTTTCTTCTTTCTATTTATAGTGTCTGATAGCAGAAGCCTTTTCTTTGAGACTTAGCACGTTCTACTGAAGAATTAGGAATCCCATGAAACTTATGGCACGGTCTCTCTATTTTGATTAATAGCCCGTTTCACCAAACTACTTGGGCATAGATTTCGGTATTACTTAGGATTGTGTCTTCACTAAGCTGACGGGATTTCGGCATATTTATGTGTTGTGAACTTTATTGAGCTTAAGGGTCAGCCTCTTTGTTTATATTGGGCCTAACATTTCAACTACTCAGCCTAATTAGCTTTGTGACTTATTTGAGCGACGTTTCATATTTAGCCCAAACAATGCCCCTACGTGTCAATGGCTGGTAATATAAGCCAAGTGGCACGTTTGAAAAAAAATCAAAATGTTGCTTCATTTCTGTGCGCCCTCTGTCGATATAAACTTGTTTCCAGGTTTTGGTCACTTCTCTTGCTTTTTTTGCCATTTCTTGAACTTCAAGTCTTCAGTCTGCTAAAACTTTTCCTACCTTAATTTTTAAATGGCTTCATTTGCTTCTTCTGCCACTGCACCTTCTTCCACCTCCATTGGTAGTTTGCCGGATTCTCTGGCAACTATTTGAAACCCGATAAACCAATTAGGCAAGCTCGTAATGGTATGTATTTTGTGGTCTGAAAAAAACCTTTTTTCCATTAGACTGGTTTCCTATCCTAATTTTCATTCATTTATTTTCAAGAGGGCTTATCATTTCATGAATCGGTGGCTTTCTGGTAAGTCTCTCGCTTCTCATATTTAGCCCTTCTATTTCATTGAATGTTTTAACTGTGCTCCTTTTTTGTCTAGCACTTCGCCTTAGAGTTTTCAAATCTCTAACAAAAGCGACGTCGGGCACCTGATAATTTCTCTCGACTTATCTGACGTCAATGCCCCTACGCAGCTGAATCCATGGCCATTGACCTTTCTTTGCAATTTGGTCTTGGCCCAGACGACCTCACCCTTCCCCAAGTCGTCCTGCAGAAAGCTCAGGAACTGGCCTTGATCCCCTCGTGCTTGGGTCAACTGGGTGGAGCGTTTGAAGTCAGATCATATGCCCCAGTGAAAGGAGATGGGTCTATACGGCCTAATCCAACTGTCTCTGGCTGATATTGACGTCCCCGTGGACCTTCTAACAGCCCTCCTCAGTTTCTGGGCTTCAGGCTGTAATGCTTTCATCTTTGAGCTCAGCCCAATGTCCCTCATCCTATGAGACGTCTTCATGTTCCTAGGGCTACCCATCACCGAGGAAGAGAACTTCTATGCCATCCCCGAGAAGCACAACTCTTACACCGCCCTTCTGTTGACTTAGAGAGCAAGATCAGGGTCGCGGGCTCCTATACAAAGATTATGGAGCTGTTCTCTGAGAAACCAGCCTCCGAGCTCATCACTACCATAAAGCACCTGGTCTTTATTTGGATCCTATTCAGCCAATGGATCTTGGCCCGGGGACAGGAAAGCCCATGCAGCTGCATGTCCAGATTGATTAGTTTTTGCTTTGTGGCAATCAAATAGCCTTGGGGACTATGTTTTTATGCCGTCTCTATTATGGCATGAGGGAGTCGCTGATCAAGAAGCCCTTTAACAACTTCAGTGGGCCCGTTTGGTTTTTAAAGTTGTGGATGATAGCCTACTTTTCTAACCTTCGGTGGGAGCCCTTCCTAGATGATTCCCATGCCAACCATCCCTTCACCTGTCTCTTGGGTGGTCATCCGTTGGTGGAGTCGAAAAACTTCTTCGAGTTCTTCTGTCAACAGAGTTGGTCCTTGGGAAGGACCTTAAAAGCTTTCAACATCCTCAACCGCCGCCTTCCCATATGGTATAAGTGTATGGTGGAGAAGAAGAACAAGCTCGCTAACCCTCTAAGGGACGAGGTCTTTCCTTCAGCCACTACTCCCCAAAAGATGTGGCTGCCATACACTGGCTCCTCCTTTAAGTCTCTCAGAGTATACTTAGAGTCTTATCATCCTTAATTGATAACGAGCTAGTTTAGACTGAGCCAGTGCATCTCTCGAGGCCTGTCCCCCCAAATCAGCGTGGAGCTACTGGACAGAAAGGCTATTGATCAGATAGCCGTTCCACTCACCATCTAGAGGTAGTGCAAGGTAGAACTTGTAGATAGAGATGCCTGCCTCTGTTTCAACAAATGGTGGCCCCAGTGCTTTAGGCCCATAATAAAGAGCCACACCAGTAAGTATTTCCTACGGATCTATCTTATTTTTGTCCTTTTCATTTTGTTTCCTTAGACTAAACCTGCTTTGTCTTGTATAGGTCGTGATTGGAACAGTCCCACGTGTTGGTGACCTTTTTAAGGGGCAACATTAATACCCTCACCGCTTTTGAGACTCTAACGGCCCCTTCCGTGAGGACTGTAGTCTAGGGGATGGAGCAAGACGATGCTTCCTCCTAAATTTTTGTTCCCCCTATCTCTAAAAAGTTTGGGGGCCAAGAAGAGCTCCTCCAGTCATCCTGACTAAGGAGATACTCCGGATATGAGGAATCAGGCTCTGTCTCCCTTTGCTGAGGCTAAGCGAAGAAAGAAGATGACATCCCCGTTGCTTGACCAACCTGCCTCCACCCCACTCCAAATCTGCCCCACACCTCAAAAGGGAAGGTGCACACGTAAGCGCCAATAGATGATAATCCTGTCAGTAGACTCTGATGATGGCAGAGTGAATTCAATTCAATAAGGGAAGAAGGAGACCCGGCACCCTGATCTTTAAATGGTCCCCTTCCAAGCCACCACTACTCT